GCAGAGGTAGCATCCCGAACAATACGAAGGAGGAATTTTACCCATGATAACTTAAATCGACTCCAAGATATGATCTCTTTAACCGATTTTTCTGTCTTCTCCAACTCAAATAATTCTTCCAGATGTGAACATCTCACCGGCTACCTTAATTTCTGTTTGATTTGTGTTACCCTATCGAGACAATATATATCCGTACCGACAGATTCTCATCGCCTCTCCTGAAACGCCTTCGACGTAATAAGAAGAAGACATATACAAATGGCAGGCGCTACGATGTTGAACGACTCTCGATTATCGTCAAGGCAGAGATTCAGCGCTTGAATCAGATGTATGTTCAAATCATCCTAGGCAACCAGAGCTGTCGCGAAGTGTGGTCGGCTTTGAATCAACTCTGTGGGAGCTCCTGTCCTGACGTAGAAGAATTAAACCGACAATTTTCTGCCTCCTCTGGGTCCAATTTTCTACCGTCCGTTTTCAATTCTTCAGAAATTACCAACGCTGTTACTTCGACCGAGATTCCCACGGACCGGACTCCTTAGTCCCTATATTATTGAAAACCTGCGCCGAAAACCTTCCATTACCCGTCGCTGAGATGTTTAATTTGTGTTTGTCCTTTGGAACAATCCCTGATTGCTGGAGGGCTGCCCGGATAAGACTCATTCCCAAGAAGGGTTTTTCAAAATATCGACCGATTGCATGTATCTCAGCCCTGTTGAAGGTATTTGAAAGAGTGCTGTTGAACTGTTTGACTACCCTCTTTGATGTTTTTGATTTTTTTCAGTTTGCTTATAAGAATTCCCTTTTAACTGTTGATGCTGTGGCGTACGTTGTCCATTCTGTTGCCTCAGTTCTTGATACAAGCGCTGGAACTGTTCGCCTTATTTTTCTTGACTACGCCAACGCCTTTGGTTCGCCTGATCGTCGGATTATCATTCAACGTCTTGCTGACTGCGGCTTAGGATCCGACATATTAAATGTCTTTGTCAATTACGTCTCTTCTAGGACACAATTCACCTGATGCAATGGTAAAACATCGTCCTCTTCTCCTGTTAACTCTGATGTCTTCCAGGGCGCCATTTTGTCTCCCTTCTTTTTTTCCCTGTACATAAACCACCTGCCTGTTCCCACCAACTTTATTGCCTGCAAGTATGCCGCCGATATGATGATTTGGTGCCCTTACAATACTGATACTTCTTTCCATCAACTTCAAAGCAGTCTGAATGACGATTTGAGTTGGTCCTTCCCCTATCAATGTTGCTTAATGTTTCCAAATGTGTTGATGTTCACTTGAGACTTAAATCTGGCTCCCGCTTTCAAACTACCTTTAATAATTTATCGGATCTAGTAGTTAATAGACACAGCATTCCTAAAGCTGACTCTGTTAAAAACCCTCGGAGTCGTTTTATCCCACAAACTCTCTTGAACCTTACATGTAGAGAACCTTTACAACAAGGTTCGAAAACTCTCTGATCCGAGCGAAAAACGAACTAGTCTGTATGCGTTCAATCAAATGACCCTTCTCTCGTTCTGGATAGCGACAGACAAATCTCAGAGCAACGCGTAGCCCAAATTATCAAGAACCAATTCAATCCAAAAATAATCTACGGCACTATTTTTGCATTAATCGCAAATACATAAGGCACCCATACCTCTGATAGTGAGCCTGATTCACTATCCAGCCAAAATATTACAAATATTCACAAAAAATATCTGCGGTAATAAAAAGTAAATGAGAAAATGAGTGATTTGAACTACGTTTCAGATAATTCTGGACCAATAGGAAAATTATGCACGCTTCAACAGATCAAGCAAGAGAATCTTGAGCGTTATAGCCAAAAAGGATTCAATATAATCGAAAGTAACGTTTAGTTTAACGACGAGCGTTCAATCAAAACTTGGTCGCAATAAAACAAGAAAAGGCACCGAATAGCATTTACATGTAAGAGCAAAGCTTTTGAAGTGTGTCTAATAGATATGCTTTACCGTAAAATAGGTGAAACAGAAGGTTCATAAGAGAAAATTCGCCGACATGAAAACCACTGTCGGAAAGAATGCACGATAGAATGGCGTAGAAAGATAAGGAAATGCAAATTAATTGAGAGGCATTTTCAGTCTTTCTGATTGTTACACCGGCCACTAAAATTCCTCCTAGCGGACAATGTCACCTCCGATAGTCTTTTTCTGGCTCCTCTTTTTTACTTACGCTCCCGAAACAATGGAGTTCATTTGATCCGTTAAGACTATAAATCTCTGAAAGTCTTCCTTGTCTACCCATGAATCTTAATAGACACAAGATGAATGAATATGTATTGAGACTTCCCGCTATCTGCAAGTGCACGGCTAGGGTCTGTAAGCACGTAAACACGCAGCCATATTTCTTTTCCGAACCACGACCCTTGCGAACAAACAGAGGTCCGAAATAATCAACTCATACAGAGTTAAAACTGCACCAAACCTTTTGGACCCTACATAATGGTGGGGGAGCCATCATCTGCTGACCTGCAGAAGCTACGGTTTTCCGACATACTATGCATTGACCTATTACTCGCTTCACTGCACTCATTCCCTTGACAATCCGATATTTTTCACGGATCACTGTGACGTACCACTATGTCCTCCTCTGCTATGATAGTGGCGAATAATAAGATCAGTCACATGATGTCGATTGGGTAGAATCACCGGATGCTTGAAGTGGGATGAGTAGTTTGCGTAACTAAGTCGTCCACCTACACGAAGCAAGTCACCTATCGTAACTGAACAAAGCTTCCTTAAGGAATGCACCATGTTTCCGTTTCGTGCTCCGTGAAGTTTTGCCTGTAATGTTGATTCGCCGAATGTTTCGTTCTGCACCATTCTTGAAATCTTCCATTTCGCACCGTCGGTTTCTTCGACCGTGATTTTTCCTACGCTCAGGGTGCTTTCGTTTCTCGACGAATACATAATTCTAATATAAGAGATGAAACGAATAACCCACGCAACCGACTTTGAAAGTTTTGACCATTGAGATTAACGATGCAGAAGCTGTTCTAGTTTTACCGACAAAATAGCTGTGTTCACGCGTGCTACTATTTTCTTCATCTCCACGCCATCCGGTGGGGACAATAATGGAGATAATGCCTGTGGAATATAGCTCTGTGAGAACATCGTCCCCTCTAACCATGTCTCTAGTTCTCTTTTTGTTGATATACCTCTAGAAGTAGGGTCAGCAATATTTTGTTCGGACCGGATGTGACGCCATTGGGACACCGTGGAGTACCAATGGATGATTGCCAACCGATTGGCAACGAATGTACTAAAACGTGTTGAAGTATTTTCTATATATTATTTGACAATCATTGAATCCGTCCAGTGCCACACCTCACTGAACATCTCCGATCGAGCCCTTTTTATCAACCCTGCTATCTTGATTCCGAGGACTGCCGCAGACAGTTCCAGTCGCGGTATGGTCACGGGTTTTATAGGTGCCACTCGAGACTTGCTGAACAGTAAAACGCTGTAAGCCGGTTTTCTTGCTGAAACACACCACGCGTAGGCGACGGCCCCAAAACTTGTCTCATATGCATCACAGAAAACATGCAACTCTGTTCTCCCTCCTTCTCCCTAATCTTCGTTTCTAATACTTCTGGGGATTTTAATCACTTCTAGACACCTAACCAAGCGTACCCAGCCTTCACAAATACCGGCATCTACAGCATTGAGAGGTTGGTCCCAACCCATTTTGGATTTACACAATGTTTGCAGCAAATTCTTTGCTGGGAGGCATAGAGGGGCTACCAGACCTAGCGGGTCAAACCATGAACTGACGCTGGATCATATACCTCTTCTTTTCACCGGCTTATCTAGTAGCGGGAACTGGAACGTAAAAATACCTCTTGTTATGTCCAACTGCACGTCCAAAGCTCTCTGACAACTGAAATCAAATTGAGTCAGTTGAACCAGGTTGGTACCCGTGCTGTTGCAGTGTCTTACTTTTCTATCCACTTTTATCTGACATGATTGCACAGCTTGTTTTTATATGCACAACATCTAACATCACAATACAAATTCTGTTTGTAACTCCGCAGGTTTTCTCCGAGTGTCGCTGAAGTATCACGCAATCATTATCAGTTGTATTGTATTGTTTTGTGTATAACTTTAGCGAGCACTAAAGCTCACATTTCAGTTAAAAAATCATAGACACTAACCGTCACAATGTACATAATAAACGGGGAGAAAAGTTTTAACGGGCATGGGGACATTTCATAATCTAAGGTTAAGACAAAGTTCGGTCATTGTCCGCTCTTTGTTTATGAGTAGGCGAGCAAGATACGATATGGGTGAATTGCAGTATGCATTAATTGGAGATGAAATTTGGCGGAATTGGGAGCGTGTTGAATGATGGGAACGACAAAGCGTCAGTTCTGCATGCAATGGGTGGTCAGGATCTGTGAGAATCCTCTCGGCAAACTTCACACAGGAAGTTACGTGATACTCTGAAAGCTTTACAGCTATCGTTAAGCGCTCCGTTAACTGTCGCAGCCATCCTTTTCAGCTCCACTGCATCTCATCAACTGGATCCACACATCTGAAAAACAGGATCAATCAACCAGCCGCACAATCGTTTTGTGAGTCCGTTCCTTGAACCGTTTATTCCATTATTATTCGTATATGTGGTAATGTTTTCACTACACTGTCATCCGAGAGAGATTCTGCAAGCTCTAATGAATTAGATTACCACCTTCTCAGTTTAAAACCACCTCTTCCCAATAGTTTGGTTATTTCCTTCGCAAAACGTAAGCCTCCATCACATTTCACGAACGATGCACAACATTCATCAACGTAGAAGTTTTCTTCTATGGATTTTAGCACCGCACTCCCATATCCACTACCGAATTATCTTGCAGCTCTTTTCAAGGCAAAATTATCACAAAACGGTGAAGAGAGTGCACCAAACGGGTGAGCTGTCGTTTGATATTTTTTTGGATTCTTGAGTGGATCACCCTGTGGCCACCAGAGAAACCTCAAAGCACCTCTATCTTGTTTGGCACCTTCACTTGCATAAACATCTTTTCTATGTCAGCTGTAACAGCTATACGTGCCGTACGGAATCGCAGAAGTATACCCACTAAATTCGCGGTGGTGTCTGGACCTTGATAGAACATGTCATTCAACGATAGCCCCTTGTGCTTTGCCGCACAATCCAAAACTACACGCACCTTTTCCGGCTTTTTTTGGGTTAATACTGCATGATGGGGCAGGTACCAACACGGATGAATGTCGCAGTGTTCTCCTGAGACTGGCACGGCATATCTCTTTTCTTTAGTCATCTTCATCGTTTGTGCGTAGCGGAACCGTAGCGCCTTATCATTAATTAAGCGATGCTTCAGGCTGTTCAACCTCGAGAGCGCTGACTCATAGTTTCCCATGTCCGTATTGACACTATTTCTCCATGGCAGAGGGACCACGAAGTGTCCATCAACAAACATTGTACCGGAATCTACAGTAGCCATGGCCTCCGTATAGTCTACGGAAATGCCTTGATTTAATAACTGGGCGTCTGTGAATTCTGCATCGTGCATTTGCATTATCTGGTTTATTAGATTTGAGTCTTCTGCAGCCAAGCAGTTAACCGATTTCATTTCATACGAAGTGAAACACGAAGGCCCGAAAATCACCCAACTCAATAGCGTCCAGACTGAATAAGGATTCTTTCGACCGCTGAGCCTTTGGTCGAGTACCCAATGCGCCTCCGGTACATCGCACCCAATTAGCAGTAGAACTTCTCCATCAAAGTATTCTACCGGAAAGTCTGCCAAATGGGGCCATTGCTTAATTATTTCAGAGAGACGCATAGCCAAAACCGATACGAATCCCGGAATAAAACACGATTGATCCGTAATGTTCTACGGTACTAAATTAGAGAAATCATTACAAGTGTACAATAAAGTAGACCTCAAATATGCGGCCAAAAGCACTCAAGCCAGTGAGCCAAATATGATGTCCAGAGAGAGGCAAACAGTCGCTCACGTTCTCTGACCACGCAAAATTCAAATGTGCCGGGCATCGAATTACCAGATAAATAATGATGTATGGTGTTTGTGATCGAGAAATGACAATATAGGAGCAACACACAGATAAAGTTATTTCACCATAAATAAAACAATCGGCATGAAATACAGCGGCCGCCAAAGTCCTTCCTGCGCTTGTCTGAGGCAAATGGTTGGCCCAGGTCATTGATTCTTGTCTACCTGTCTACCTGCCTAGTCCCTGCTGTCAGTTCTTCTAACTATAAACTGTTCAGCCTTCGCCGCACTCGTTGATCTTGACCTCCGGCGACTTGCACGTTTCTTCGTCGAGATCTGCCTTTCGCATCAGCACGCTTGCAGCCAGTCACACAATAACTTGACAGCAGTAGGTCAAATGAATATCATTACAGATAAAGTCTCGATGTGTAAACAAGGAGGGAGGACTGTGGGCAGTGTAATTAATGTTCAGGTTTTATAAATGAAATCATGTTCAGCATGCAGGTGATTGTGTGAAACTGAATGGATGGATGTTGTGGGAAATGGATCACACTTTCGACGTTGACGTCATAAATTGTGTATCAATCTGATGAAAGGACACTCAGTCACGGAATAAAATGTAGAGAACGCATGGCACGGACGTGGAAGCACGTGTTTATACAGGTGGAGTGAATGTCACTGAGGCGCAATTGATACAAGGGGCAGGTAAGTGAATATACTACATGGCGGGTCTCCGCAACTCCATCAAGTAACGGCATGGTGGTCATCTCCCTCCAATAAACACACTCGTCGAATATCGCGCACCTGTTCACCGGCAGATGTTTTCAATTTCACTGTTCTTACTAGCCCATCTGAGTCCGTGTGGCTTTCTATGACTACACCCAGTGGCCAGTTGTTGCATTGTAGCTCTCCGTCGGCCATAAGTACAACATCTCCAACCTTCAGCGACCGTTCTCTATACAACCACTTCTGTCGAGCTTGAAGGGTTGGCAGGTACTCTCTTGTTCAACGCTTCCAAAACACCCGTGCCAGGTAGTTCGCATGCTTTCAACCAGGGATTTAGCAACCACTAATAGCTTTTGGCATATGTAGACCTTCATTGGACCTCAATGGCAGAAGATCACTCGGAGTTAGCGCCAGTCCCTGCAGGTCATCACTGGTGACGGGTACAAGCGGTCGGTTGGTGAGTATCATTGCCGCCTCTACGAGAAATGTGCTCAAAGTTTCATCGTCCAGCGCCTGTTGTTCACATAACGCCGTCAATCTTTTTCGCACCAACCGTATAAGCCGTTCCCAAACTCCTCCTCAGTAACTGCTGTAGGGTGGGTGGAAGTGCCATTGGGTTCCAGATGGCGACAGTCGGTCTTGCAGGGCGCATTTGTCTAACTGCATCAACCAGTTACTGAATTCTTTTTGTGCACCCACTAAATTGGACCAGTTGTCCGAGGACACATTCGATGGGTTGCCTCATCTACCAACGAATCTCTGCCAGGCCATGAGAAAGAAGTCGGTCAACATGCTGTGCACGGTCTCTATATGAAAAGCTCGTGACTGTAGGCATGTCATCAGGTATCCGTATCGTTTCTCCATCGACGTCTTTTGTTTCACCAATAGTGGCCCGAAGTAGTCCACTCCAATTTCGGCGAAGGGTCACCAACCTGGTCGTACTCGGAAACTTGGTAACAAGGCCATCAGTTGTTTGCTGAATGTAGCATTCTGCCGACGACAAAAGAGACAGTTGCCCACGATGCGCTTCACCGTAGCTCTCCCTTTCACTATCCAAAACCGACGGCGAATCACATTGAGTAGGTGATTTTCCCCGACATAACCTTCCTGAATGTGAATACGTATGATGAGTGATGAG